ACACTGGGGAGGGGGTTGGGGACCCCCCTCCTCACTGAGGCCACGGGGCTGGGTTTTCCCAAGGGGTTGAGCTTTTCCCAAGGGGCTGGGAGCGGGAGAACCGGTCCTGCCACAGGCAGGAGCCAAGGTGTGAGAGGTACCACCCTTTGGGGAGACAAGTGGAGGCATCACCGGAGGAGGGGGAGGATAAAAATGATGTGGGAAGGGCCGGGAAAAGCAAAGCTGCCCTGGGGGGGGAGGCTTAATCACCTCTGTGAGGGGGAAAAAACACCCGTTTAAGGCACAAACGCCTGAAGGAAGATGCCGAGGAGCGGAATAACGACCCCCAAACCCGCTTTTGAAAGGGGTTTGAAGGGGAAATAAAACCCCGGGCGGACTCACCCGGAGCCGCCGCTTGAAGGAGCGGGAGGAAAATGGCGGCGGCTCCTGAGGGGCCTTTCCCGCCCTCGGGAGGCCCCGCCCCCTTCCGGCGCGACGACCAATCAGCGGCCGCGGCTGCGCAGCGCGGGAAAGCGCGGGTTTAACCCCCTCCCCCCCAAAGCGCCTCTTGCAGGGATTGAGGGGGTTTTGGGGGGAAAACAGGGGGGTTTGGTTAAGTGAGGGTTCTGAGGGGGAAAGTGAGGTTTCTGAGGGGAAAAAGTGAAGTTTTTGGTAAAAACTGAGGTTTCTGAGGGAAAGAAGTCAAGTTTTCTGAGGAAAGTCCTTATTTTCTGAAGTAATTCTTAGGGAAAAAAGTGAAGTTTTCGGGGGAGAATCTTAGTTTTCTGAGGTAAAAAGTTAGGTTTTTGGGGGGAAAGTGAAGTTTCTGAGGGGAAAAAGTGAAGTTTTTGGTAAAAACTGAGGTTTCTGAGGGAAAGAAGTCAAGTTTTCTGAGGAAAGTCCTTATTTTCTGAAGTAAAAAGCGAGGTTTTCTGAGGGAAAAGGTGAAGTTTCTGAAGGGGAAAGTGAAGTTTTTGGTAAAAAATGAGGTTTCTGAGGGAAAGAAGTTAAGTTTTCTGAGGAAAGTCCTTATTTTCTGAGGTAAAAAGTGAGGTTTCTGACATAAAAAGTGAAGTTTCTGGTTAAAAGTGAGGTTTCTGAGGGGGAAAGTCAAGTTTCTAAGGAAAGTCCTTATTTTCTGAGATAAAAAGTGAGGTTTCTGAGGGGAAAAGTGAGGTTTTTGGGAAAAAGTGAGGTTTCTGAGGGGGAAAGTGAAGTTTCTGAGGGGAAAAGTGAGGTTTCTGAGGGGAAAAGTGAGGTTTCTGGTTAAAAGTGAGGTTTCTGAGGGGGGAAGTCAAGTTTCTGAGGGAAAATGTGAAAGTTTTGGTAAAAAGTGAGGTTTCTGAAGGGAAAAGGGACGTTTCTGAGGTAGTTTTCTGAGGAAAGTCCTTATTTTCTGAGGGAAAAAGCAAGGTTTTCTGAGGTAAGAAGTGAAGTTTCTGGTAAAAAGTGAAGTTTCTGAGGGAAAAAGGGAGGTTTCTGAGGGGGAAAGTGAAGTTTCTGGTAAAAAGTGACGTTTCTGAGGTAAAGAAGTTAAGTTTTCTGAGGAAAGTCCTTATTTTCTGAGGTAAATTGAGGGTTTCTGAGATAAAACGTGATTTTCTGAGGTAAAGATTTGCTTTCTGAGGTAAAAAGCGAAGTTTTTGAGGTAAAAAGTGAAGTTTCTGATGTAAATGATTAAGTTTTCTCAGGTACAAGTTGGTTTTCTGAGACAAAGTTATTCTCCGAGGTAAAAAAGTTACATTTTCTGAGGTAAAAATGAAGGGGAAAAGGGTTTTTTGGCCACTTCTCTAACTCGGAGCCTCTCGGGGATGTCAAAAAGCAGCAGGAGCTGGGATGAAATCCCTTGAAATCCCTTTTTTTGAGGTGGTTTTAGACCCAAACCCCCCCCCATCCCAGCTGGAATCTCCACACTCTTGGTAATTACAGGTGATCAGCTTAAAATTAACCACTTTACACCTGCCAGATGGGCCAAAAAAGGTGTTTTTTCCACCTCAGAGGGGCTTTTCTCTTTCCAAACTGCACAAAATCCACCCCAAACCCCTCCAACTTGCAGCTAAAAATGCCCATTTGTTGATAAAATGTGGGATTCTCCACCTCATCCTTAAAAAATTAAGTTTTGGGAAGTCTTGTGAAGTGAAAAGCAACACTAAAAATCAGCATTTTGGGGGTTTTCCCCTTATTTTATCCCCCACAGAGACTGGGGGGGTGTCTGAGAACACACCATTTGAGGCAGAAAAACCTGTTTTTTACCTAAAAATACTTATTTATGGCACCTTTCTGGTTCCTCTCTCATATTTTGGGCCCTCCTCCCAAATTTGGAGCCTTTTCTCCTCATTTTAGGCCCTTTTCTCCTTGTTTTGGGGCCTTTTCTCCTCATTTTAGGCCTTTTTCTCCTCATTTTGAGTCACTTTCCACCCTTCCTGGTCCCCTCCCTAATATTTTGGGGTCTTTTTTTCCCCATTTTGGCTCATTTCCCACCAGCTTCATCCTCCTCCCTAATATTCTGGGGGCTCTTTTCCCTCTTTTGGGATCTCCCCATCCCATTTTTGGGTCCTTTTCCCCCCTTTTTGGCCCATTTCCCACAAAAAAGACACCACACCAGCACCTGGGGGGCTCCTTTTATTCAACACCTCAATGTTTCTTGCTGGCAGCTGCCACCTGGGGGGGGGGAAAACCAGGAGTCAAGGACAGAAACAGCCCCAAAATGATCCCAGAAAAGCTTTAAATTGCCCCCAAAATGGGCAAAAAGCCCCAAATGGCCCCAAACTCACCTGCCCCGCGATGCGATCCAGGTCCCTCTGCCCCTGGGGGGTCAGTTTGCGGCCTCTAGGGGGAGAAAGGGGAAATTGGGGGTGAAAGGGGGGATTTGGGGGCAAAAAGGGGGATTTGGGGGGCAGAAAGGGGGGATTTGGGAGCAAAAAGGGGGATTTGGGGGCAAAAAGGGGGGATTT